GGAAGCAAATAGTATGACGGATGCTCTAGAAAAAATAGTGAGCTAATAGACCCACTTTATTTTGGGCATTTTTCTAATATGTTGTAACTAGGTCATGAAAAAATTACTTGCATTGTATTTTAAATGTAATTTTTAATTAATAAAAGGTTTTTATTTACTCATAAAAAAATATAGTTGGCAACCTCGAATGCAATGTAAATTCTCAATAAAGCAGAAACTAGAAAAATTGAATTATTATTGATAATTCCATGATTTTTTTCTTTTTTTTTCTATTTTCTTTTTACTAAGAAAAAGTTACTTTTCTACAATGGGTATATCTTTGTTGTAACTTAATGAAGTTGATCCTTGGATGTGAGATTAATGGCTATACACCTAGTTACTAATTATATAGTTCAATTATAGGATACAATGTCTGATTTGATGTTAACCCAACTTTGAACAGGTGTGTATATATAATGGCCACCCCTTGGTGGAAATGTTGCAACCAAGGTTGATGTTACCACAACTAGACCAATAGTATTCATAGTAAGGTAGCCACAACCCCACTATATATAATTCAAACAATGGAAGTCATTTTCTCTATTTCTTTCTCCAAGCATATAAAGATACTGTCTACAACTTAATATTCAAATGAAAAGGGGTCATTTCTTGGTGTAATGGTAAAACCTAAGGCTAGCAAGTGCAACAATGTGGGTTTGAATTTGAGAGTGAATACTCATAGACCCCTGGAACCAACATTGATTGCAAGGGGCTTGATTGAAAAACAGCCATCTCCATTCCATTTCCACCTCCATTTGTCCTCCAAATTAGCATCAATAGCTTGCCCTAGTAAGAGCTACTGCAGCTCCAAAACCTCACCCAATTCTCATTCAAACAAATTTCGTCTTAACTGAGGGCTCTAGCTCATAGAATTTTCAAAAGAGACATAGGATTCAACCACAAAGATATCTTGGTTAACAACACACTAAAGAAGAGAGGGAAGACCTCAGCTAAGGGACTATCAAGGCACCAATGATCCTTCCAAAATCTCAGCCTATCACCTTTTCCCACCTTGAAACCAAAACCTTCTGAGACAACATGAAGGTTGAGTGATGTTGAACAAAGACATTGAAGTTACCAAAATATCCTTATCGCTGTTAAGGCATTATCATACATAATTTAATGTTTCAACTTTACCCTTCACTAATTTATTTTGCCGGACAACTTTTAAAGAGTAATTCTCCCTACTCTTCACTTCAATGAAGTAAGGTAAAAATATTGAAGTGAAGTAAAAGGAAGTAAATCTTTTTATCCAAGGTATTTTAGTAAATTTACATATGAATAAAGTTGGTTAAGGGTAAATTTGGTATTTAAAAAAATAATCCATTACATTAGCCTTTCTATTTGGAATGCTAATAAAAGGAAGGTATTTGCACCTTTTTTCAAAATGATAGGGGAGGTTCATATTAAGGTCAAAACACAAGGGAGTTTCATAGGATTGTTAGAAAACCCAAGGAATTTTTTTAATTTTCCCTATTTTTAAATGAAATTTAAATTCATTTTGAATTAATGAAACTATATTTAAAATTAATAATTGTTTATTCATTTTTATTTTTATTAATCCCTATTAAATAATTAACTATATCAAGTTTTTATTTTTAGTGTAACTTAATCTGGTTTTAAATTAATAAAAAGTAATTATAAAACTAATAATTGGTAGGTAGTTTTGTATTATTTTTATATTAATTTTAAATTGATATTAGTTTATAATTTATCTTATTTTTTATTAATTAAATTATTTTATTATATTAATGAAAATAATTTTATCAATAACAATAATTAGTAGCTATTTTTATTTTATTTAAATAACTTGCTAAATTCCTATTCCTATGTTTAATTAATTATTATAATTTTCAAATGGAATATAAATGGATTATAATTTTTATGATGTTTTCTTCAATGTTTTCAACCTATCATTGACTTGGACAGTTAAACCATTCAAACCATCATTCGACCCTATTTTTACTTTTGGGTTTTGTAAAATCCACTTTATTCAACTTGGGTGATTGAACCATTACCCAATCATTGGGTCACGGGTTACAATATACAATGTATTGAAAACTTCTGGTGGATTTAGCTTTATTCTTGGTTGTTTGATTGGGGATGATTTTTTCTTTAACTTTTCACCATCTTTACAACCCCACTATACAAAAATAAATAAATAAACTCAATTGTTGGCCTCAATTTTCAATTTTTGGCTCTTATTTTTATAAAAAATAAAAACAAATAGACCTTATATTCTATATATATATATAGATGAATGGTGGTGTGTCATAGTTTGGCTCATCCAACCTGGACAATTTAATTGTTGACTTGTAACCTAGAGGCATAGACTATTCAGTCTTCAACTCAATTTTTAAAACACCAATTTTATTTGTTGGGTGAAGTATATAATATTTACGTTGAAATGCAAATTACATGATTAATTAACTTAAAAATTAACTATCTTTTAAATGGAAGTAGATTATGTTGCCTAATAATATATCATTAGATGTATTCATTTCAATATAAGTAATCTTTATTAATAAGTACAACTTAATGTAAATATATCTATTGTATATAAAATCATAATTAATTGGAATAGAGATAGATAGTTAATGAATTTGAGGCAATTTAAAGACATAATGAAGAGAAGAGAGAATTAGTGACATGAGTTATCGAAGGAGAGTTAATGATGTACTTAATGAGAGATAATTAGGTCCCATTCGTTTTTCATATTTTGAGAGGTGGAGAATCAATGGTATTTTGGTTCCCATTGACAATATACCCATGTTCTTTCTCTAATTTTATGTGGGGTTCATGGAAAATTCATTTTCCTTGGGTATCAATTACCAAGTATAAGTGATACTCATCTTCCAAGTGGGTAAGTAACTTTTCCATTTTGGGGGAAAGCTACCAACACTTGGATGAAACAAAATTGCACATTTTAATAATGAAATTTTATGGTTAAAACAGTCACTGACTTAGTTACCTAGGAAATAAAAACATGGGTAAATGGACTTACTCGGGTCTTACCAAGATAAGTACATTTACCTGGGTAAGTAGCTTCCCAAAAATGAACGGGGTCTGAGTTAATGGGAAAGATGAGAGAGAGTTAATGGTGACTTAATGAGAAGAGTTAAAAGTCTTAAAGGTGATTGGCACTAGAAAGTAGGAAAGTAGGAAGTGCTACCTTGACACATTCCATTTTAATATATAGATATAAATTATCTGTGGTCGCAACACTCCTTGTGACCACTAATGACACTAACAAATTAGTAGCGGAAATCAATTAAAAAAAAAAACAGTTGAATTCTTCTTTTTTTTTATTATTGGAATGTACATGTTTCATTGGAGGATCACAAAGGGAGTGTTGTGATGAAGGTAGTAGTATACATCTTCTCCCCTATTTTCACCATTGTCCATTAGGTCAAAGGAGTTTTGCCCTTAATGAAGTTGCTGTGCAGCCTTAACCAGTCAAAGTCCATGACTAGGGGTGCAATTGAGTAGAGTCGAGCTGAATTTCTATATGTCTTGGCTAGATTTGAATAAAATGCTAATAAGCTCAAGTTCAAGTTTAGTTCGAATTCTATTTTCTGACCCGAGCTCAGCTCAATTAAATATTTGATAAGCTTAAATTTGTCTCAAAAGCTTGAAAATGAATATATTTTTATATTTTATATATGTATATATTAGTTGAGCCAGGTTCGTGAACTTTTAAACCAAACTTTTTATTAGCCAAATTCGAAAGCAAATAATTAATCAAACTTACCTCAAAATTGATTAGAATCAAACGGGAAACAAGCTTATTCTAACTCGATCCATTGCAATTCTATCCATAACCGACAAAATATTCATTGAGAACTTTCCTTCAACCGTCTTTTTCTTTTTTATCTCTCCAAATTAAATACAACCACTTAGGGTTTGTTTGGTGCATCTTTTTGGGAAGATTTTCTGGTAGGTCTGACATGCAAAAGACGCATTGAGCTTTTGCATGAAAATCTAAGTAGCCCGAAGCATGTTTGGCAGATGTGTGTCTTTCCGCACGAGATTAAAACCCAAAAGACGCGAGAAACTTCATTTGGAGCTTCCCGAAACCAGCCCAAAATGGGCTTCTTCTTTTCAGCGTTTTGTCTTTTGATGGCTAAATTTTTTACTCGCCAAACGGAAATAAATCAAAAATCGATCTTCATGGCTTGTAGACAACTGAAAAACCATGCAAAAAGACACGCAAAAGAGGCCCTTATATTGATATCCACCATGACAATGGTTTCGTCTCAAGTATGCTCACAACAAAACTTTTCCAACAAATTTTAACATGATCTATGTCCCGCACATCGTGGATATGATGGGTCCAAGTCTGATGATGAGATTTTTCTTACACAAATGAGTTGGAACAGCACTGGGACAGTTTTTGTTGTCAGCAATCCACCTCATACCAATAATTGTGGTCTAAATTTCAACAATATGCCAATATTACTTGCTATGCCAGGAAGTTTCCTGATTGCATATAAATAAATAAATAAATCCTATTTTTTCTAAAAAGAAAACTGAAACCTAATAATTTCTAGTTATGTATTTCAATAATTAAGTCAATATCAAGAATTTCTACAAGTAACTAGAATTAATATTTAAGAATTCTATTTTCTACCAACAAAAAAATCGTAAAGGAGCAACAAACCCTAATTAGACTAGCCACAAAAGATTGGAACTTTAAAGTTTGCAACTTCAAGTAGCAGCAGTGAAAGGAGTTTTCGTGTGCCTTCTTTCGAAAACAGAGCATTCTATGTGATTTTTTGTTAACTGAATGGTAAAACCTTAAAAGTAATGTTTAAAAATTGACTAATGCTACCCCTATTACAGTTAAGGTCCGTCAAAATTCATTCATACTATATATATTTTTAAAACCCAATTTTACCCTCCACCTCTCACCCTTTCAGGTTGGTGGGTTCAGGCATAGAATAATAACGGTACATGAGAATGAGCTCATACTGAAAGGAGGAGGGGTTCAACGTCTTGCTAAGCTATGACCGTCCACACTCTCTCTCCTATCTACCGCTCCAGTTAGACCATCGTCACCTACAGCCCCTTTCCTTTCGCCGTCAGAAACCCTATTGCAGCGGCAGCAGTATTCCTAAGCTCAGAGGCACCGCAGAGACAACGAACTCGGGATCTCCATTATTTCCAACCTACTGCAACCTCAAAGTAAGTTTGTGAAGGTCTTTTGTACCTTGTCTCTAGGGTCATTCTTCTCCTTGCCTTCGAGTTTCAACTGAGACCGCCATGATGACAGGGACATGTGCGAAGCAGAGACCATTGGTATCTTTTCTTGCTACCGGTGTAGTATTCTTGGGGACTATTCGAATCATTGTCATAGCTAGGACTTGAAGAACGATTCAAATAAACAAGTGTTCGAATACCACTGGCACGACTACTGGAGGGTTTCGAGGGTTTCATGTCTCGGGAAGACATGGATACCCTTGATTGAAAATCGGTGGGAACCAACGGCGAGGGAGAAGGAGATCGAGAGAGATGGAGTTGAGATATTCGATTTTTTTGTCATTGTGGAGTTGCAGCAAAAGATTGCCATTAATGAGGTAGTTGATTAATGGAGTTGTAGTGATTAATGGGGTATTTGATGTTATCGAAGCTGCTGCTGTTGTTGGTGGTATCTAAGTAGAGACTATTTGTTGGATTTAGGCATATCTAAATGGCTGACCGCCATTATGAAGCATATGCTATTTTTGTCGATGGTCTCTAAGTACCTGTTGGATATAGGGAAAGGCAGGACTTTCCACGGTTTCATCTCCGAATGACAGACCGCCATGATGAACAAGAAACAAGAAAAGGGGAGGGGGGAGAGTACAGGTCTTTTATCGCAACTGTTCTCTTTTCTTCTCTTGAAAATAGCTGTTATTGGGTGAAATGGGAAACATATTCTTCTCTTATTTTAAAGTCTAAGATTCTTCTCTTTTTAAACATAGTCTGTTTAAAAAGTATTAATTTTTAAACAGTAAGAATACATTTACTCAGCTAAACTATAAGGGTAATTTAAAAACTTTATCCTCTATTTTTTCTTTCGGTCTTTCTCGCTTCTCGGAGAAACGCTTCCGGTGTCATCCCGAAATGCGCGGGGCTATCGCCGATGGAGCGGACGAACCGACGAACGAGAAGTTTTGTTTTGTTTGGGAAGAGTTTCAAGAACGTTCGAGGTTTGAGAGTGCCAACTGCTAACTGCCAAGTAATAGCAATGAACGATTCAGTGAAAGTTTTGTTTGGGGAGAAGGAGTTTATAGCAATGAACGATCCAGTAGCGCGTGACCTATTATATTAAAATGCTAATGACGTTTTATCTTCGTGGACGGTGGACCCCGACTTATTCATGAAGGATTAAAGTCACATCGGCATGCAAGCTCCAATTTGTGGCCTTGTAGCGTGGACGGTCTTGATTGTCCGCATCATCCCTCGACATGGTTAAAATGGAGGCTCATGTGTATGTTAAACCCCACTGGATCACGACAAACTACTAATACATGAACCGGTCGGTAGATCTAGATGCACCCGTGGGACTGTGGGAGAGGTGAAATAGCAAATAGCTCGTTAGAAGAGAGCGCAAGGCAGCTACTGTTTCTACTTTCGTTCAGAGATTGTGTGTGGGAGAGAGGGAGAGAGAGAGAGATGGATCGGAAGAGAGTTTTAGTGGTGGGAGGAACAGGATATTTGGGCCAACATCTGTTGCAGGGATTTCTAGAGATGGAGGGAAAGCCATACGATGTTGCATTCACCCACCACTCCAGTCCTCCTCAGAAGTTGCTTGACGCAGTTTCTCCTTGTCCTGCTTTCCCTGTCGATCTGCAGACAGGACAAGGCTTCGATACCATCTCCGCTACATTTGGTCAGGTCTGTTCTCGAACAATGTGAAAAAGAGTTTACTTTCTGCTTTTTCTTCTGAATTTTTATTATTCATGTGCCGATCTTTTGTTAATAATTATAGATTTTCTGTGGACTTCTTAGTTTTAGGTATTGAGTTCTTTTGAATTTAATTTTTCTTTTTATAGTCAGAAGTTCAAGCTTCAGTTCAGCTATCATATACTGGCTGCGCTTCATTTGTAAAAGTTTAGATTGTACTTTCCTCTCTAGCAGTTGGGGATTCGCGTTAATAGTTAAATTTCTGCGTTTTCGTCTAGTTCTTCTTTGTTTCCCGCGTTCAATGTGTTTGATTGAGGTAATCTTGCATCTCTGTTCATGCTGATATTACTACTCCTAAAGAATCAATCTTTTCGTCTAGTTTGGTCGTTGGTGCTGATACATGGTTAATCTTGCATTGCCAGCCTGATGTGGTTATTAATTGCGCTGCACTTTCCATACCCCGTGCTTGTGAAACGGATCCCGACGCTGCTATGGCTACCAATGTACCTTCTTCTCTGGTAAAATGGTTGTCAAGCACTGGTAATGGCAGTACTCTTCTGATTCACCTTTCGACTGATCAAGGTAGAACACAGCAAATCTTATTTATTTTTCTCAAAAACAAAATATTCAAGACTTGCTTAAGCATACTTCATTTAGTTTAAACAATAAAAGAATAAATGTGCTAGGAACGACATATGGTCCAAAAAAACAGGTTACAAGTTACTACAAGTGCAGAGGACCAGATTGTGGAATTTGCAAGAGTCCTCTCTGAGAGAGCAAAGATTTTCCAACCTATCAGCTTTAGACATTTCAAGTAAACTGCAGGAAAGGGAAAAAATGTTGAATAACTTTTGCCTTGTTTTACTTCTTTTGTTTATTCTTTTGCGGTATGGGAGATGAGGATTAACAAAGATGGAATCTTCAAAGTTCAAAGTTCTATTATTCTCACCCATTTATGCAGTGAATGCATATAGCTAGTTGACATAGATTATGAGTAGATTACATCTTAGATTATTATAGTATTTGATCCATGCAACTGGAGTTTCTAATGTTGTGGTTTATGAATCTTAATGGGCTATTGAAGTAACTCAGGAAAGGTCAGCTGAATTATTATTCAAAATATGTTACCTTGAGAATCCAACAAAGCAGCATTCAAATGGATTCTTAGTTCTTCTAACTTATTGATTGATAGTCTTGCCAGAAAAGGGTGGGTAGGAGTTAGTTGTGTTACTTATATATGAAACCTTGCTTCAGAGAAGCACTGTTTCCTGTTAATATTTTTCTATTTTGTTATGCTTCTTGACCTCTTGTTGGTTTGTGTGGGTCCCTATTGCATTTTCAAGGATTGCCAGTGCCTATGTATTCTTTTCTCTCATTTTTGATAATATCTCTTCTATTACTGATCTGAAAAAGAAAGAAACATCATAATAGATGACTCCCAGAAATATGGTAAGTTAAGTCTTTCAAGTTACCTTACCCAAACTCTGAACATTGAAAAATATTGACTTGGGAAATGAGTTAAATCTCAGGTTCAAATAGGACTGTTAGCATCATGTGTCATACCTTGGCACAAAATAACAATTAATGAATAGAGATTTGGACTTCATTTAGTTGTTTTTCTTACATCCAGTTAGAAGTAGTGTTTTGCTATATTTCGAAGGCTTTGAATATCAAAGTGGGAGAACAAAAATGACATGGATTCAGTAGTAAAGAGGATTTGGAAACACATTATGTAGCAGTAGATGCAGCATCTAATAGATTGGACAATAGAAGATTATTATTGCCAACCTGGAACAGTTATAATGTCGCAAGGTGGTATATATTGGAGTTGGAGGTGACCATCCAGGATAGAGCACATCATGTCATGCTTTAAATTCTTAACAATATGTGTTGATATGTGTTTTAATATTCCAAGTTTCCAGATTGCTTTCCTTCTTTATTTTCATGTTATTTTCGAGGGAGATCTAACATCTAATGTAATTTCACCAACAATTCAGTTTATGAAGGAGAAAAATCCTTTTACAAGGAAGATGATGAAACTATTCCTGTAAATGTCTATGGAAAGTCAAAAGTAGCAGCAGAGCAGTTTATTCAATCCAACTGCTCAAACTTTGCAATTTTGAGAAGCAGTATCATATATGGGCCACAGACAATTTCCCCTGTTACAAAGTCTCTTCCCATTCAGGTAAAGCCACACACTGTATGTTCCATATTTTCAAATTGTAAACATATAAATATGTCCAAGTACAGGCTTAGCGCTGAGTTAACTTGTCAACTTCAACAGGTTTGCCGTGTGAGTTAATTTTGTGAACTTTATTTTGGAGCTCAAAGAGGCAATTGATTAGCTGATTTATTGTATAAAGTTGGAGTTTGGACTTGATAGAAGAATTGAATTAACTTTCGGAAAGAGGAGTCAGTTTGAAACTTCTCTAGGAAATACTTTGATGCATTATGTGAAACAATTCCTGCATGATTTTTATAGATTCGCTTCCTTGTGCAAGAATGAATATATCTATTTATCAATCAAAGGTTTTTCCTCTGTGTCTAGATTCTGTGGTTTTATTTGGAAAATGATGTTTCAGGAATTTCTAATAATTCATTAGGATTTGTCTTTTCTTTCTCAAAAGCTCCACACTAAATAAATTGAATTTATTCCAAGGGCTTCTTATAGTCCAGAGGTTTGATACATTGGGATTATGAGAATGTAAAGGAAAAAATTCCTGAACTTGCTGATTTTGGATCTTTAGTGTCAATGAGCTTGGTTTCGAGAAATGTTGAATAAGTCATCTCTGTGATTTGACCAATTTGTATGTGCACTTTTATGTGTTTGTTTACTGGTTTACAGATTTCTTCTTAAGATGCAGAAATGAGAACCTTGGGACACTATAAGATTGAGTTCATTATTTTAATTGGTTTACAAACTGCAAGATTACCATGATGTTGCAGTTTTTACCCCAACATATGTGAAATTAGTTTTCACAAATCATCCATATACAGATTTATCCAGGTTTAAACACATCATGACTGAACAGAAAAATGTGGGTAAAAAAGAAAAATGATTTTATTTAGATGGTTTTTTCTCTATCAGTTAGATGAAAATTATTTATGTTGTTCCTAAGGTTCATTCCTTTTTCTGCAAAGATTTTAACCAGTGATCCATGACTTTGTGGCTCAGTGGATTGACAGTGTCCTCTCTAGGGGAGACAAAGTGGAGTTCTTTCATGATGAGTTCCGCTGCCCTGTTTATGTCAATGATGTAGTGGCTACCATACTGACTTTGACAAAGAACTGGACCACAGGTCTGAATTTCTTAGCATTATCTCTGATAAATGTAGAAATTATGATTTGCTAACTTTCCATTCAACTTTATATTCCCATTACTAGTCCTCTTAAAACACTAGTATGATTGATTTTTGTTAGTAGTCCAAGCTAAATATATTTCTTTTGTGTTGGTAAACTGTTACATTTATGTTCTCATGCTCTTTTCAGACCTCCTTACTCTATCTACCAACCATAGGCATCACATCTTAGAATCTAATACATAGAGTAACATCTTAACGTTTTTTTTTTTTTTTGATAAATAGTAACATCTTAACTTTTAACTCTTAAGATTATTTATCAGTGTATGGAGGATGTGATCTAGGTATTATTTTCACTTGCTACCATTGTATATGGCAAGGGTATGGAAAACATAAGGCGTTTGATATAGAATTCACATTTAAACTATTAAACATGACCAGAGCACCCATTGTGAAGCATACATGCAACATAATTTTCTACGTACTTGTCAAGAAAAACTCTATCTGCTATGCACCTTTTTCTGGAGAAATGCTCATGTTTATTATCTTTTGAATTATACCTAAAATGCATACCATACTGGTGTCGGTGATATTACATCATGCATTCAATCACGGAGTTTGTTTGCTCTTTTACCCATTTTTTGCTACCTTAACATCTTAATGATTTATGGTACTATTTCTGCTTATTACAGATGGTAGGCAAATACAATTAGTTTTGAATGTTGGTGGACCAGATAGGGTATCACGTTTTCAAATGGCTGAGACAGTAGCGGCTGTTAGAGGATATGATATCTCTTTAATCAAAGCTGTATCTTCTTCATCGGTACGTGTTGCTTTTCTAAAATTATGTTCAGACGCATGCTATGGTCAAAGCATGTTCTCCAATGTGTGATATCTAGGGGAAACACTGGGTTATGGTTTTTAAAATAACGTTTGATGTTGGCAACGGTTAGAAAACTTGCTTCTTCATTTCATACAGTACACATGACCCACTAATTCTTCAGTTTGTCCCAATGTGATTTGCATGATTTTGTTAGCTATTAGTGTACCTTTTCTGTGCCCAAGTTTTAGCATCAGATGAATGATTAAGATCAATTAAATGGCTACATATATGGAAGTTAGCCTTTATTTTTTTCCCCTTTTTTTAATTTTTGCACTTTGCTTAAAACTGGAATGCCTGTTTTCAGGTAAACCGTGGTGTGAGGTCCCCAGCTGACATATCTATGGATATTAGTAGATTGGTTCAGACGCTTAATATTACTCCTATTCCATTCATTGATGGTGTAAAATTAACTCTTGGACCTGCAGCTGGTTCTTGACATTATGAGAAAATGACATGTAAATTGATCTTCTTTCTTTCTCTCTTCCATAATTCCTTTGCTACCAAAAGGGGCTACATCACCACTAGCCTACAATATCAGTGTACCAAAAAATACTGAATGATTAAACTTATGCTTTTCTGGAAAAGATACAATGCACTCACTTTTTTTCAAAACCTTTTGTCTTATTTAGTTCCAAACCTGCCTAGGGGTCACTGCTTAGTATAATGGTAGAATCTTGGGCTAACAAGTGTGAGAATGTGGGTTTGAGTCTGAGAGGCAAGAGCAGCCAATTTGTGCAGAAAAATGCCAAAGTTTAGGTATGTAATCAATCTACCTTTCCCAAGACCCCAGATAACTGGAACTAACATTGCGTAATGGTCTTTTAGTTCCTCCTCTGCTTCCTTGTATTTCATGGTAAGGTGCTAGTGTTCTGTACACAGATATTATTGTCAATCTCCCCAACTTAAATTTGATAGGATGATCAGAAATCATTCTCACCGCCCAAAAAAAGGCTTGAGGTCTTTCTCCAGTAAATTGATTGGATCTTTTCGATCTCCAAAAGAGAACAGTAAATTGGATGGTTGTCCATCTTCATTATCCATTGACGGGCTCTGACCGAGGAAATGATCAATGTTGAACTGAAAAAGTAACATATGTTGGACCACTTGTATTGTGGTCATTCCATGTTTTTGAGCTATTTAGTAAAGCTGACGTGGGTGCTAGAACAAGGGAGGCATGTGCACCCTTAGAAGAGTGGAAAACTTTGTTTTGGAATTTTGAGTGTTCCCATCCCATACCACATGAAATGATCTAGTTTCATTATCATTTAATTCCACAATCCTTGTCTAAAATGGAGCCATTTACCATTGTAATAAAGAAATAGAAATGAGTCTAATCATAGGAATCCTGAAACGGCCCCTACGCTCTAATTGGTGAATTTCTATTCTTAAATATAACGGAAAATTATACCAACACCATCTCCTTTTATGTGGTCTTTAGATACCCCGTTATTTATTTTAGGGTAAATTTCGTTTCTTAAGTTTTTGACCATTGCCAAAACGTCCTTTGAAGTTCGTAAAAAAGAAAAATGCAAGTTTCATGAACAGCAAAAGAAAAAAGAGAGAATTTAAAGTTGCAGCTTTACCTTTGAACCATTCATATGAAAGGCAAATTTGAAAAATAAATCAATTTCAGAAAAGAGATAGGAAGGATTTGGGGTAGCAATTCATATGAAGAGAAAATTTGGAAAATAAACACTTTGGTCAAAAGACTGCATGGGTATTTTGGACATTTTGATGCCTCTTATTAGAGGATTCTAACAGAGGGGGTCCACTTGCAACTACAGTAGAAAGTTCAAGGAAGGTGATTGCAATTACCAAACTTTAGGGGAAGTTTCAGCAGTTTACCTTTTATTTTTAGTATGCTTGGAAGTAGCGTAATATCAAAATATAGAGTTCAATTATTTCAGCAACAACGCACACAAAGAAGCAAATGGTGTTGATTAAGCATTGTTGGTGAGATTTCGAGTTGAATAGTTGATGGATAAAGAAAAGTTCTCGTTAAAAATAATAATAAAATTATTAAGGCTGAAATTCTTTGCCAAGTCCAACTGACTCACATTTGATAATAATAAAAGTTTTGGGTTGTATAAGATTTTTGGTTCAATTCTCTCTTTAGAGATTTCATTTGATATCTTTATTCAATGTTTTAGACCCAAATTTTTGTTTTCTCTTTCTATTATTTATTTACTATTTTTAGGCTTTCAAATATAGGCATATTGTCATGAATTCGGCCAATTTATTACAAACCTTACTTATTTTATACCAAATTGCTCAACTTTTTATTAGGGAGGGGTGTTTACGGGTCGTGTTGGGTCGGTTTGAGTCATTTTCTCCAATTGACCCAACGTAGTTGGTTTACTTATTAACTAAACCAAAATTAACCGACCCTGAAGTAAAATTGACCCAAACTTGAAGGGTTGGTTTGGATTGGTTTATCGGTTTAGTCGATTTTTATATATATTTTAAACTAAAATATCTATTTATATTTAAGTTTATTTTCTTTTAGTTTTTATGCAAAATCAAAATATATATTTAAATCGATTAGTTTTTTATGCAAAACTGATTTTTTTGTCTATATATTTAAATTTATACACAACTGAATTAAATATTGTACCATTGTATTAGATTTGTATTGGTTTTACTTTTTAGTTTTTATCATAAATAACCAATTTTTTTCAAAGTTCAAACAAAACACAAATAAAATATATCAACATTTAACATATAGGGTAGGGACTAATTTATAATTACTTAAACATATAGGATCGGTTCAGTTCGGTTTGTATGAAAACCGAAACCGAATTGAGTTGTCGGTTTATTTTCTCATACAAATCGAAATCGATCGATGGTTTTGAAAAACCGACCAACTCAGGTTGGGTCGATTTGGGTCAGTTTGGTCGGCTTGACATTTAATGTGAATACCCCTACTTTTTATAGTCATTGGAACTTTTCTCTATGGATAGAGGGTGAATTGAAAAGTCACATCAACCTATTTTGGGCTACTCTCCTTGGACATACCATGTATTAATAAGTAACATGTTTCTTTTCCTAAGAAATTGCAAAAATAGGATTACACTTACCTCTCTATTCTTTCAAAGTTCCTTTGATCTTGTTAACGATAAAAACAAAGCATCATCTATAGAAATAACAAAATAGGTTGCCTTTAATTTTATTTAGTAATTAGTAGGGGTGCTACCGAACCGTGGGGTATTTTTTCAAACCAAACCGACCTATTCAATTTTTTAAATATCCAAACCGAAACTGAATCGATGCAACCGGTTAACCATGGTTCAGTTTTTCGGTTTTTTTATACACTAAAAAAAAGTACCTAAAGCTGTTGGTGGTTGTTGTCGGTGCTGAACTGGTTGGTGTCGGTGGTTGTTGTTGGCTGTCACTTGAAGTGAGAGCTTGAGAGGTGGTGCTTGGCAGAGCTGCAGAGAAGAGAGAGAGATACAGAGATCAGAGATGGAGTTGGTGCTTGCTTGCCAGTGAGGCGGCGACTGGTGTTGCCGCTTGGTGCTGGTGGTTTAAGAGACAAGAGAGACTGAGAGACTGGGAAACAGAGAATTGAGAGATTGAGAGAATGAGAAACAGAGAACTAAGAGAAGGTATTAGGTTTAAGAGACAAACAGAGAAAGTTGAAAGGTTTCGATTTTCGAAGAGACTGAGAGACTGGCAGGTAGTGATGCAGTGTTTGGTTTTCAATTGAAATAAAATATAATATATTTCAATTTTCAATTGCAAGGTTCGAAGAGAAAGGTTGAAAGTCAGACTGTCGAACTTTTTTATTCGATTTTCAAAAAAAATAAAAAATATAATATAATATATATAATATGATATAAATATATATTAGTCGGTTTGGTTAACCGCCGTTTTTTTTAAATGGTTAACTGAAACTGTCGGTTTTTTGAAAATACCGAACCGAAATCGAACCGACCAATTTGATTAACCGATTTTTCAGTTTTTTATGCTCACCCCTAGTAATTAGTGGACAATCTTATTTAGTCATTAGTGGACAAAATAGTTTTTTTTTTATAAAGGTAGGCGGCTTGATGAGTCTATTTCATAAGGTTAGCAAACCTACATATATAATTCCTTTAATTTCACGGACTTTATTTTCAAAAACAATTGCATTCTTTTGGTGGTAAGTAAGCAATTCAACCATTTGAGCCAAATGGGCCAACCCATGATGTTATAGTTAAATAAAAAAGTTTTTAAAAAATAATAAATAAATAAATAAGGCAAATTTCCAATATTATATATTCACCATATCAAAAAATACAAAAAATAAAAATTAAAGAAAAAACTGCACATATCTAATATTTTAAATGAATTATATTAAAAATATAAGTGTAATAAAGAATAATTGTTTTTATTGTTGATGAAAATAAAATACAAAAGTTAAAATTGGCCAAAAATGAAATTTTTTTCCTATTTTGTAGTGGGTCAATAGTTCAACTTTTGGGTCAAATGTGTTAACCCCTGATGTCATAATGAAATAGTAAAATTAAAAAAAATAAAAAATACAAATTAGAAAAAAATACAAAAATAAATTGTAGAAAATATTTGAGCACATCTCTAATATCATATATTTATCATTTCAAACAAAAAATGAGTGTGATAAATAAGGTTTACTTTTATACAAAAAGATATAAAATTTGTAGAAAAATAGAATATTATTAGGACTTTTTACAAAAAATTAATAAAACTTTTATAGATTAATAATAACAAATACATTTAGAAGTAAATTGCAAAGACAATGAGCCAACAAAAAGGTTTAATTTTTTAACCAAATTACCCCTTTTTCACTTCCCACTCTTGTCCACTTTGATTTCAATTCTCTTAAGTGAACCCACCAACATCATTACCTTTGACTCATGGTTTAGTTCCATTACAATTCATAATAACAGTAATGACTCTCTTATTTCGCTTTTTCTTTCTTTGGATGGAGACAAAACAATCGAGTAAGTACCAAGGTTGAACCTACCCCTTCAAGTTCCTATGTTTTTGGTGGCTGGCTATGGCTGGCTAAGTGATTAGCATCTTAAACACTTGTAGGGTCTTCTTTGTTATTAGTTCTATTCTTTTATAGCTTACGTTCATTTTTCTACTTTTTGGGGCCTATTCGTTTGCATTAAAATTTGACATTTGAATACCTCTTAAATTGTAATAATTACTTTTAGAGAATGTTGTTGGCTTAAAAGTCTAAATGTAGAGAATGTTGTTCTAAAATTTAAATGTTAAGTTCTAAAAAATGACATTGACTATTTCAGCCCTAGATATGAGAAAGCTTGTTAGACTTTTAACAAACTAATTATCAATTAATTAGTTGAATAAATAATTATAATAATGATAATAATTACATAATCAGTTTTAATAAATCAAGCATTTAATAATTAATTATCAATTAATATGTTTAAAAATACATAATTACATAATTTTTAATTAATGAATTAACTTATAATTAATAATTGTGTATTTAATAATTAATTAATTAAAATAATAAAATAAGTAAATAATACATAGATTAATAGTAATAATTTCTAAATATTCCCCCATTATTATTTTTATTATTTTTATTATTTTT